TCAAAGTGAATCTATGGAAGAGACCAAGTGCAAGAGAGTCACTGTTGCATATACTGAAGTTATCATCACTGAACTTCTATATGAATACAACTAATTCCATCTTGCATAGAGCATGGAATGTACACAGAATAGAGCCATAGATAGAATGATGTCTAGAGGATGAAAAACTATTGGAGAAGATAGAAAAGCTCTATTCATCATTTTTTGCATGATCCACTGATGTTGAGCAGGTTTGGTTTGTGGTGAATTTTCAGTTTGCATCACTATATATTCCAGATCCTCATAGAATGATCTTCTGCTGCTAAAGGATGCCACTGTGGTATGTGATTTTCCTCCACTCTTAACTAACACTGGCCCCTCCCTAATGATTACATTACAATAGATGTCAGAGGCAGTTCTGTGAAGAACTTAATGCACTATTTCTTATCATGAATTTCTTTGTGATAGATGATTTCAGAGTGCTTCAAAGTGAAGACAGGAATGATATTCAATTCAGAGTGCCTAAGACAGATAGATCTTGATCCTACAAATTGTATTCTTTTGTTGTGCTATAGCCACCAGCACTATTGGTGCCACCAGGTCTGCTCTGATACCAGTGGGACAGTGACACACTCTAAACATGTCTATGCATGTAATTTTGTGAAATACAGTAATACATGCTAAGTACAAAAGTACTAGTAAGCATGTGAAGCAAAATAGAGCTAGAGCACAATAAAAGAAAGGCTAGCTATAATGAGCTTGAGTGACAATTGGTAAAGTACATGACTTAGCTTCAGGATAATATCAAAGAGTCACATTATACAGGAAGTTTCAGTACTTGACACTGAATGCACAGACAACAGCACAGAGCTTGCACACTAAGAACAAGAATCACATGGAACTACAGATATGACATGCATGTGAAGAACACTGTGTTTGACATATATGCGCATAACACCATACATTCATAACACATGTTAGATACAGGAATAGTACAATATGAACATGTTCACTTATCTATTTGATATTTCTTTCTTTTTCAGCATGTCACACTGTTCTGCACATCTCAGCTTTCAACTACAACACTGAGATATGAGTACTTTCTATACTTATCTATCTTTGACTGTATTTACTTATCATCTATATAGTAATATTACTGTTATAATTTTTGCCTGTAAATAATGACCTGCTGACACTTAGTAAGCAGATGCTTATCAATTCTGACCCCAGACTGATCTTACAAAAAATGATAAAGACATGATGACACTATAGCTACACCTTATTCATTGATGCACAATAAGATGACAATGAACAATGTGGTAACTATCACCATTCCACATCTTGAACACAATAGGAACTGTGGCATATGGAGAACTCACTATAGCAATGGTATAGCAGAGCAACAATAAGAAACAAAAACAAGGGCACAGTCATTGTTATCTCAGACAATGAGCAGAGGGTATAGAAAGCAGACAATAATAACCTGTAGAGTATAGGATTCTTTCAACAGTATATAAGGCAGTAGTACACACTGATATACCCCAGTCTTGAGCTAAGGTTTAATACATCTGCTAAACTCTCTGACTATCTGATGTGAATACTCTTGCCACCATAGCAGACTATGTCTATCAGCCACAACCCTTTATCCCTATTTATAAAATCCTTATTGCCTATCTTGTCATTCTCATTATACTTCTATACCAAAATCAAACTTAGACTCAGAACCTAGAATCAGACCCTAGCAGAAGCAGTGCTAGACATTTGTGAGTGTTTAGTAGAGGCCTAACAATTAGCTCAAGACTTCACATGCCTTGGTCTGACAGCACTTTTCCAAGAACTAGTATATAAAACTCACACTTGGAAACATCATCACTATCTCTATTGTAGGTGCTTGCCTGTTCATCACAGTAACTGGAATTATTGAATACTATATCATAAGGTTACTGAGAGAATAAAGAAGAAGGAGAGAACCGGAGGAGTGGCAGAGCTGATGAAGAGTGGATCTCCTTCATTAAGCCCTCCAACCAGCATCCTACATACTCTCAAGTCAGAAGAGCATCATTATCCAGCCATCAGCTCCAGAATCTACAGACACCAGCAGCATAGATTACATTGTTCAATCTTCAGGATTCAAAAGTATACAAAGTAGAAGAGAAGGAGTTGAACCTCTCTCTCTTGTCATCCAACTGGCCACCTCTGATAAGAGAGAGTCAGTACAAAGGGATGATGGCCATACAAGCCAACTCCCAACTAGAAACATGATCACCCCTACCACTGATTACTACCAAGAGCATATACCAGGAGCTCTATTTGGACTTTACTCTAAGCAGGTAGATGAGTCCAGTCTCATGGCCAGCCTGCCCCAAAGCCCCTCAATTCAAGAGCAGAACATCAGTCAGATCATCCTCAGAGTTGATGCATACAGCCTCAGAGGGAGTGAGCTCCAGTCTGCTGAATCAGGAACAGTAGACTCATATGAGCTAAACAGGAGATATAAATACATCCTCAACTGGTGAACCTGTGTGGCAGAAAAATCTGCCTGGATATTACCAGCAGCTCAGAGAGTGGCAAACAGCAGACATCTGCTGGTTAGGTACCAGTGAAGGACTCCAATATCTTACACTGCCAGAGCATGCTAGGGATCTAGTGGACAGAGCATGGGCAGAAACTAGGGTAGCAGAAGTAGTACAGAATGCTAAAGGGTGCTGGAAACCCCCATTTCCTTCTCTTTACTATGTGCTCAAATGACTATTGTCAGCATAAAGCAGTCTAAGCAGTTGGAAAAGCTGAAACCCTTTTCAGCAGACTCCTCAGCAAGTCTCAGCTGCACCCATCCATCTATTTGCTAGAGTAGAGTCTGAAGATGCTGGACCTCGAGCTCTATCAGCATCCTCTGGCAAAAAAAAAGAGAGGGAAGAGCTGGCAGTACCATTTCCCCCATCCTCTGAAGAACTGCTGGACCATCCTCAGTATGACTGGAGGCTGCAGTCCTTGCCTAGGCCCAAAAAGCCAGTCCTACCATCAATGCTACTGCCACCACCACCTGACAATCCACCTCCATGAGAGCCTGAAATCATGAAGCTCTGGGGAAATTTAAAGCCAACTATAGCCCATGAGCTAGTACCATTCAAAGGAGAAAGCCTGGACTTAAAATGCTTTTTCCAACAATGTGAAGCATATTTCAAGATGTACAGCATCTATTTCTCCATGAGCCCCACCAGATTCAGCTCTCACTGAGTAATATTCTGTACAACCTGATTTGAAGGCACAGCACAAGAATGGTGGAGCTTACAGGAACAGTACTTTTATGATCTGACTACAGGACAGTGGAGATATCCCTCCTACTCATAGTTCAAAAAAGCTATACAACAATGATTCAAGCTAGATGCAGAACAAAAGGTTCATGCTGCCAAGTGGCATTCCTTACAACAGGCCAACTTCACTGATGCCAAAAAATTCTTTCAAGAATTCAAAGAGTTAGCATATCAGGCTGGAAAGATGCACAATCACAAAACCATATTGGAGCAGATCAAGAATGTGGTCTGATCTAATCTCCACAATACCATTTTCCATAGGATAATAATTTTCCCTCCACTTATAATGAGTGGAAAAGAAGGATGTTGCAGATGGACTATAAGTATCAAGTCAACACTCTTGGTCATGAGGAAGCAAAAGCCACTACAAGTGGAGGAAAGACTGTTACTGGTGGATCAGCTCCAAAGGTAATGACTATGAGTGACAAGAGAACTAGAACTGGAGCTGTGTATGGCAGCCAGAGGCAGCTAATGAACATAGATGCACTCTGAAAGGAAGAAAAGTGCTTTAATTGCAGAGAGAAAGGGCACTTATCTTATGTGTGCCCAAAACCCCATAAACCTCAGCCTCAAAGATCTGCCCCAAATGCTGTGTCAAGCAGTCAGTCTCCTGCCACACAAAATATTTGTGAAATAAAGTTTTCAGATGATGAATAGAAATAACTAAGTCAGATGTATCAGGAAGAAATGGCCAGTTGAAAAGCATAGAAAGAATTGGATCAAGCTATTGAAGACAAGAAAAGGAAAGAAGAAGGAATTGAATCTCAGGAGGATTTTGGCAAGTAACTCCTTGACATGTATGCAGGTGGGTTTCAGACACTTTTTTGACTAAAGCAGATGATACTAAATTAGTGCATTCCAAACCAGACACTGTATCTACTAAAACCATTCCTGCAGATACCAGAAACAGATATTCACTGCTCAAAAAAGAAAACCATACACAAGAAAACTCAAATGCTTTAGAAAGGCACAGTATGACAGAAGAAAAAACTCATCTATTGTATACTCACCAGGCAACAAGATCTGGCTGGATATCACAAATCTTTATCTTCCACAACCCAAAAAGAAACTATCTGATAAACACACCAGTCCCTTTAAAGTCATTGCCAAGATCAGCCTTTCTGCCTACAAACTCAAACTACCTGCTGGGTGGAAAATCCATCTGATTTTCAATGAAATCCTTCTAATGTCCTATGTGCCTTCCATATTTCCTAATCAAGAATGACCTCCACTGCCAGCACCCAACCTAGTCAACAGTGAAGAATCCTATGAAATTGAGGAAATCCTTGACTCTCAAGTCTGGCAAAACAAATGGTCTATTTGTCAATGGTGCAAAAGAGGAATGGATATCCCACCACTTAAGCTCAGCCATGGCCTACTTGTGCAAACTATCAGCTTGTACACTGACATACAGGCTTGTAGTCTTCTCCACTTAGAAAAAGAAAATACATAGTTGCATCCTTCCATCCAATGAGTCCCAAACCTGAAGGATTCATACCTTTGTCAATGGTCATGCATGCTGATTACCAGTCAGCTACTGAGACACACTGCATGACACTGAACCCAACTTCATATCCTTGCTGACTTCTGATGGCAAAAGACTTTTTGTGAGGGAAACCGGTTTCTTGATTGAAAGGTGATCTAATTGATTTACCCAGATGTAATGAAGAAAACAGCGAACAGTTGGTCTAGCCTGTGCTTTGGAATATGAAGTGGCAGTTTTTTTTATGGCCAAGTAAGTATCACCGAGTTTGACGGAAAGATACTACATACGGACTCTTCATAAAATGAAAATGAAAATTTATGTCTTCACATCGTTGATAGTTGTCAGGAGCCATAAACTGCACGGAAGCCCCAGAATAGCCTGGACTGTGAGGCCGGGCTCTAATCTAGGTTGCATTTCCCCAGGTGCTGGGACGGCGTTGTCAGTATATACTTATATCTCCCTCTCTCTCTTTTTTTTTCCACCGAGCATTGAATGGGGTTCACGATAGAATGTGGACAGTGCGGACCATAAATCCCACGTCACGTACCTATCGCAGCTCGATAATGGCGATTGCCCCTATACGCACCCCGTGGGCCTCATGAAGCTTTTCTACAAGATTACGTAGAATATCCACGACTTTGTCGGGAGATGGAACGAGAGTGACGGATGGCCGTTTGTTTATGTATGTGTCTTTTACTGTCTTTTGCTTGAGCTGACGCTGTTTCTTTTCCCGCAGGCTCATGGGTATGTTCAGTTCCGGTATTCGGTTAACGGTCCGCTTGTTTACCTGTATAATTCAATATAGCGACCCAACGGGATACGGATGGCACGGCGACTTCCAGAGCGGATGGGATGTCGAGTATATGATTTTTTTTTTCTTCTCCGTCTAAACCAGTCCTCTCTCGTCGTCATAAAGCGCTCTTCAAGATGCGACCGACAACTGCAACAACCCCGATAACGATACTATCAATGGTAAGAGGGATTCAGCGTGACCCCTCGAAAGCGATTGATTGATACTCACTCGTATCTCGTCTAGGCGTATTCACCGCTTGCTCGGTATTCGGTATCATCAGCGCTGATACCGCTAATGAGTGCAGAATCGCTTCGGTGGTCAATGAGGATACGGAGGGTACGCTCGCGAAGCTCCCTGGATGCAACCCGCTACAGTACGGTCCGGGGGATGCGACCATGTATACAGATGCAAAGTGCCCGTCCTGAAGCACTGATATAATAATAACAATGTTTGCATGTACGAATTTATTCGAGTTAGGATAATTGAATACGAGTTTTCACCTTCAGTGGCTTTCTTCTCGCAGAGCTTGAAGAAATTAATAAGCCATTTATGATTGATCTTGATGTTACGATGAATCGTCTGTTGGTTCGTTCGCCCGGCACATCCCTACCAACCACTAATAGCCGGCATCTTCAGGCCGTCATTCTCATTCTCAATCTCTATTTATATTTTTCACCTCTTGTTCAAAACGATCACCACCTTGCCTATACTACCATGTCCACCGGCTGGAATCTGTTCCGTCAAGCTCAGACGTTGTACGCCCGAGGCGATGCCGATGGGGCCTTTGAGCGCTACCAGAAAGCTATCATGAAGATCGTGAGGGATGAGAACGTTATGAGGCGGTTACCCATATCTAGCGACGCGTTTCCTGATGATATCTTTCCGACGCAGACTCTGGGCGCAGCATGGAGGAACTTTATTGCTTTGTTCAGGGACCCAGCGCTGGGTAAGACCAGGGGTGCGTACATCCAATGAAAAATGCCCCTTTTTTCTGCCTGGCTCGCCGTCTGTTAACCGGCTCGCGTTACAGAGAACTCGCCGGACGCATACAAGCTGCTCTGCAGCTTCCGTCCCACTTCCACCACGCAGGACCACCCTCGTTTTTTCACCAAGAAAGCCAGGCTCTACCTGAAGGGCATGCAAATCAGCGCGGGGCTGACGCTCGGGCTGCTCGCCTGGGAGGAGAAGGACCGGCCGACCGCCATGAAACGACTCCGTGAGGCTCTAGAACTCGCCGCCACCCACCCACCGTACTATGACCTCGCTAAGGTGCGTCAGCCTTGGGACCGCTTCGTCTACATGGACGTGAAGGCTGTGCGGGACAACCTCGCGGTGGTGTTCCAGAACGACCATGAGAACGAACAGCTGCTGGAGATGTACGGTGTGGAAGGCTGGGATATGTGGAAGGAAGTGCTCGGTGTAGGGTACGTCAGGTATGAGGTGGATGGGGGGATTACGTTCAAGAGGAACGTGATGGTCGCGTCGGATGCATGGGCGGCGCGTGAGAGGTTCGATGTGAAGCTGTGCAAGTGTAGCCCCCGCAAGGAGGTTGCTTGTGGTGCATGTATTTTTGCATGGTTTTTGCTCGTCTGTGCAAATCGTTTCCTCAGATTGTGGAGCCCGAGGTTAGAGGAGGTGAGTTCAATTGTTTTCTAGTTCCGTTGACCGCTCTGACTGGCTATTAGGATACATAAACTGGATTGCATTCCTGCTTAAACTGTAGTCATCTTTTTCCCATAAACATGTAATACCAGTCAGCTTTCAATGATGCATTTTTTTTGCTTTGCATTTCAAGCCCAGTTATTTCTTCAAGTTGTTTCTCTCTGACCTCTTAATTTAATGGCATCAGTCACAGATCTCTTCAGAGCAGAGAAATCAACTGCACCCTTTGTATTTCCTTACTTATCAATGCTGGCACAGGTGATGAAATTAACAGTGACTCCCATTTGTGGTAGCCAAGATGAGAAGCTGCACATGTGCATGTAAACTTCAACAAGTTGAAGAAGTAGTTGCATGTGCAAGCTAGAAACTAATACAGTGTAGAACTATACACTGATCACATCCACACCAACACATACACACAACACTCTAAGTTCATTGTGGGATTCTAATGTGATAGGAGTAGCAGAAGCTAACACAATCATATCCTCAACAATCCACAGTACACAAGTAGCAATTGCATGTGTATACAGCCAAGATCCATCAAAGTTCCAAAGCTTTTGTGTAACAAGAGGAGTGACAGATGTCACTAGGCCTTAAGACAAGGATATTGTAACACAACACACTACTTCAAAATGCTTTCATAAAATTCTCAATAAGTCCCAGGCAATGCTCAGAACAAACTCCAAGCACACACAATACCCAACTCAAAACTTTGCATTCTAAGCAGAAACACTTCATAAATATGTATACAAGAGCCACAGGGTTTGAACCTATGCATGCAAGTTTCTAAACCAATTGTAGACCCACAGGTTCAAACCTATGTGATCCAGAGAAACACAAAACACAATAAAATGCTGTCTACAGATCCAAAGGATTTCAACCTCTGCTATCTATAGTGTCTTGCATCACAAGTATCTCAAAACTCAGAAGAGTGTCCTCCAGACACTACTCTCTTATTCTCAGGCCAGAGTGCAAGTCAAAACTGTCTACCTAATCAGACTAGAGTCTCACATTAGCTTTTGATGCCTTGCATAATACTCAAATCACTTGAAAATTGTCAGGCAACAACCAAACAATCACAAATGCAATGCACTGCAACTGCAACTCCCAGGGTCCAACACTAACTGAAGGTAAAGAAAAGGGATGAGGATGAGAATGTATAGGATGATGATAAGGGAAAGAAGGTATAGAGATTGATAGACTATGACTGCCAGTGTTGGTACTGAAGTGGTAGTCACACTAAGAGCTTAGGAATTTGATCAGCATATTGATCTAGCTTGAGACTAGAGTATATCACTGTATACTACTGACTTAAATACTATATAGAAAGCCTTGGTGATCTCAAACCAAGCCATTGTTTTGGTGCCTCAAACCAACTACTTATTGTCTAATGACAATGCCTCTGATCCTATAGAAATGATATCAATATATGTTTATTCTGTCATCTGAAGTTACAAACTAATTCCAGAGGCTGGAGTGCAAGAACATCATGTCTTTACACTGCAACAATAGAGGTCTGAAACTTGTATCCTACTTTTACATTATGGTATTTAACTATTCTACAATAGTATACTTTAATACAACCTAATATAGTACTGTTAACATCCAGAACTCTATCTTGGAGTCCTGCATAAAACATTCCTGCTTGTGCCACAGTTTGATGCATATGTTCTGCTTTAACTCAAGACCAGGCCTGCTGTTTCCAAGTGATTTGACATCAGCTAGCTCAGCTAGTCTGTCTACTTGTCTCTTTGTCTTCCTTGTCTCCTTAGAATAATTAGACCATGCATGGTTTCTATTTCAGACTACCAGATTTCTCTTATGGTCAGTACTCCTCCTCCTCATATCTCTTGGCTGATTATCCAAGCTTATATTGCCATACATTATTTCTCTAGTCTAGAGTATGTCTTTTGGTATATCACTGCCTACACATCATTGATTAATATGATGTGAAGTTCTAATTATAGTTCTGATTATATTCTTTGTATTTTTAGTATGCATCTCTAGCCTTGTATCAGTGCATTTAGTGCCAAGTACTGAGACTTCACATGTAGTGTGATTCCACCAGTATCATTCTGTTGCTAAGCCATACACTTCACCAATTGTCACTCAAGCCAGATATAATAACAAGTCTCATTTCATTGCATGCTAGTTGTATTTTCCTTTATGCATGTAGTAGACTTGGATACAATTAATGTATCATCATATTTCACAAAATTACACATATGAACACATTGAGAGCATGTTAATATATAAGAAATATTATTGTTTTCATATGTCAGCTCTGTTTTCTTATCATTTTCTAACAGGCAATGGAAAACTGATATGTACTGGTATAGGCTTGATAAATTCAGGACACTGATTAGAATTTATTACTGTACTCTCAGGCTACAGAACTGACATCACTACTAACATGTCATTGCATGATATCATTTGGATGTAAAAGTTTGCCTTTATTTTAAGTCTACTCTCAATGATGTGACTATCATGAGCAATAAATTCAGATGAGCACATTTCAAAAGACTCCCTCATTGATGACTGTGAGCTTTTTGTCTTCTCACCTTTTAAAATTATAAAAGTGCTGATTTTTTTTTTAAAAAAGTTTGAAATTAGCTGCAACATTGAGAGTGAGAGTATGAAAGAGAACTACTCCAACAGTTTGTCTTTTTTTTAATGTGCATCTGTTTTTCTGTTACAGGAGGATGGAAACACCTGTGGGGAGATAAAATGAGGGTGACACCAGGACGAAGAAAAACATGGATGTTGTTGGCAGATTGCTTATGTGGTGAGGTGGCCGAGCGGTCTAAGGCGCCAGACTAAGGTTGGGTGTTCTACTCTCTTTCAGTGTACAAATCTGGTCCGAAAGGGCGTGGGTTCGAATCCCACCCTCATCAAAAAAAATTTTTTTTAATCTCGGTTCTTTTAGTTAGGATACCAGCAATTGACGAATAAGAGGCAAGTCGTAATTCGTCACACGGCTTTGACGATGCGTGATCTATGTGTTGTTGATTTCGTAATTTCTCATTCCTATATCCTTCTAGTGCCCTCTTCTCCCAGCCACGCTGCTGTTTCATGTGAATGTGGAAGGTCAGGTCCAGGATGCGAAACAAGGGGCGGACACCAGTGGGCCTGCTTGAGTTTTTAGTGTGTTTTTGTAATTTTACATCCAGGAAGGGATCCATAATTAGTAGCTCAGTTGCATAACGCATACTGTAACCTCAAGAAAGCCTCAAATTTAACCATTGGCGTCTTGCAGTTAGTTGAGGCGTTTTCGATTGCAGCAATTTTGTGTTTTGGAGGAGGCGGTGACGCCAGCTCCAGCCCGATGATTCAAATTCCGATCACTGTCTTCAGAGACGTGTTGGATGCGTTTGACGCGTTTTTTTTTCCTGCTCAGATTGATTTTGAGGAGGTGTGTCAATGTTTACACGCACGGCTTGGACCCGTTGCTTAACTCAGAAAGCATTAGGAAGAGGCAAGCCAGCGGCCGCACTGCTGTGATGCACATTAACGTCTTTTAGTATCGCTTCCAACGGTCACGGCGGTAAAAGCTGAAACTGAAGATTGATCGTCTGATCCTTTTTCAGATCTGACAGAGCCCAGTGACTTGTCTCTTGCCTGAGACCTCAGACCTCAGGTGTATGGATATGACATAAAGAGGCAAGATACAGCGAGGATGGAAGACGGGGCTTTCTCGGCTGACGCGGTATTATTCATGGGTTATAGGGCAGCAAGAGACAGTGGCTCTGCACGAACGAGATATCATATTCCTATATCGAAGGTTAGCTTGAGTAGAGCCACCCCCAAGCAAGAAACATACCTGGGACCTTGAACAGACTTGGTTATCCATGCTGCTCCATTGTACCCTGATTCAACATGTAATCATCATACAATCGAACACACTGACCATCCGTATCAAGCTTCCCGTGTATTTTCCTCTACAATTCATGGTATGGTGTTGATGACACGCGACGAGACAAGTTGGGCAAAGCAGACGGTCCGTTCGTTGACGGTGCAAAAGAGGAAGACCGTGGGAAATATCTGGATATCCTGCCACTTAAGCTCAGCCATGGACCACTCGTGCAAACTATTGGCTTATACACCAATGTCCAGGCTTGTAGTCTTCTCCACTTGGAAAAATAAAATACATAGTTGCATCCTTTGCACATCCAATGGGTCCCGAACCTGAAGGATTCATACCTTCATCAATGGTCATGCATGCTGATTACTAGTCAGCTACCGAGACACACTTCACGACGCTGAACCCAACTTGAACTCCTTTCTGACTTACTGGCTGGGGAGATAACCACGGGTAGTTTCATGATCTACAGAAAATCAGAAACATCAATTGAAACACAAACTATTGGCTGTCTTCCTAGAATATATTGGTTCAAATGATGCATCAGATACATGTGAAATAATTAAGTTAATGTCTCTCAAATCATGCGAACAGATAAAAATGCATACAACATGTTGTTGAAAGACGAGGAGACCACAATCTCATGTTTTATCTTGAAAAACCAATGGCAGTGGCAGAAAAAGGTTCTTAAGGGCTTGGTGAGGTCTGCCATTCCATGACTGCCTCTTAGGGGAGCCTGAATACAACCTGAATAACTGCTTCTCTGCACTGATTTGATTAATAAATCATAGCAAGCACGCTGTAAGAATGACCAAGGCCACTGCAAGTCTAGGGTTAACGGATACTTGTTTCATGTGCTGAGGCTTCAACAACCGCCAAGTGGCCAGATATTGTGACGTGAGCAATGAGCTTAGTATATAAAGTGCGATCGGATTATATCAAGCGCTCTAGAAATCTACAGAAACAGAAGGAGGGGGACTAGCTATAGTACTTGAGCCCGCTGTGATCAATCAACATTCAACCCCAGGGCTACCATCGCGTGGTAAGATGCGATCTCCTTGGCCTGACCCTGATTGCTGGCGGTGCCTCTTCCATGTTCAATGTCTCCGACTGTATACAACGTCGTGAGTACCGATTCCCTGCATATTGTTTAGAGACGTACTGTAGGCAACGACGGTCCAAGTTCCCGAATGCTGAGGTCCGGTGAAAGTCTTGTCATAGGTGAGTGTCAAGCCCCCTTGATTGGCATAACTATTCAAGTCTTGTCGGTAGTCTGTGGAAACTACGGTGAGAGGATGATTATCAAGGAAAGTATCCAAACGGACGTCTCTGAGGGTTCATGACGAGGAGGACTAGATGCTGAAGTCGTTCGGTGTGCTGGATTGCTGAGGAGAGAATTCTTGGTTGTTGGGTAGATGATTTCCTGGTAGTTAGACCTTTTATACCATCCTTCAGAAACAGAAAAATCTAAGAAAGAACACCAGCTGTAGTCGCACAAGGAGATACTGAGGACAGCGGAGTAAAGTTTCACCCATTAAAGGGGACAAGGAGACCCTCCCTCGGATTCATCACCAGACACAAAGCGCCGGTATTCATTTTGGAAGCGGTAAGCGGCGGGCTGGTTGGAAATGTTGATACACCAAAGGAAAAGAATCCCGTGTAAGTGACTGACGGCGAAAGACTTTTTGCGAGTGAAACCGGTTTCTTGATTGAAAGACGGTCTAAGTAATTTACGCAGATGTAATGAAGCGAACAGCTGGTCTAGCCTGTGTTTCGGAATACGAAGTGGTAGTTTTTTTTTTTAACCAAGTAAGCGTCACCGAGTTTGACGGAAAGATGCTACATACGGACTCTTCATAAAATAAAAATGAAAATTTATGTCTTCACATCCTCGATAGTCGTCGGGAGTCATAAACTGCAAGGAAGCCCCAGAATAGCCTTAAACCCTCGAAAACGCGATTCTGACTCTCCAGCGAGCGTCAATTTATTAGTTCATTAGTTGTTATCGGAGATTTGGTGTCGGAGAACTTAATATTCCGACGCCACGGTTCTTTTTCCGGGGCCAGTGACCTATAAGCTATAGAACGTTACGGATCTATCCCCGAGGAGCTTCAACGATTGTAGCCAAGGTCCAAGCAATCATGGACGATAAGCATTGGCATGCATGTAAGATCACGCCTAAAATATAAGCACAGCTATCGCTGTAGGTTGCTGTGGTTTCACGAAGAGATAACCTAAACGCTCAACTATGGTGAGTTTTCTGGTCACCGGTGAAAGCCGGTGGTCCGGCCACTGCCTTATGGACCTGATGCGATGCAATGAGTTCACAAAGAAGACACATTATCCTGCACCAGAGTCACAACTATCAGCAAAAGTTCTGTCTTTGTGAAAATTGTTAACGAAGTCAAGATCGAAAGCGGAGGTGATGTTTATAACAGGAGATTACCACGTGATGGTTGATTGCGTAATCGAAAAATTCTGCACTTGAGAACATTCGCGAATTTTTCTTCTTTCTTCCAACTTTTTTTTCGCCTCTTCTTCGTTTCTCACCTTCCCCCTTTATCTTATTGCTTCAATGGTAAGGAGAGCATCCATGCATAGCGCTATTTTTACTCATTTCCATTCTTCTCATCCAGGCGGCCCAGGCAACGTTCAAATCCATCAAGGCTCTCGTTCCTCTCCTTGACCGGGTTCTCGTTCAGAGATTTAAACCTGAGACGGTCGGTTTTTTTTTTTTTGCACGATCTATTCTTCATTCCGCTCATACTGAGCTGTAGAAAACCGCGTCTGGGCTCTTCCTGCCCACGTCTTCGACGACAACTCCACTACCGGAGGCGACGGTCATTGCTGTTGGACCCGGAGCGCCGAATAAGGATGGAGATATTGTTCCGACCCAAGTGAAGGCTGGAGATAGAGTGCTACTACCTGGCTGGGGCGGCAATTCGATCAAGGTGGGCGATGAGGTGTGTCTGTTTCGTGTTAAGTTGGCATACAGCTGCTGATGTTTCCTGTAGGAGTATTTCCTGTTCAAGGACGCGGAGATCCTTGCCAAAATCCAGGAGTAAAATCCATGTGCCTCTGGTTGGGTGGCGAACGGCCATTGGCTCGAAGAGCTTTTCTCTCATCGTTGTCGATTATACTAATGTCACCATCTGCATCAAACAATCCAACACATCTCCCCACTCTCTACGGATCTTCTGAGGTGATGCTGTAGCACTGCAGGTACCGGGTTCTCTGACGATCATTCCAATATCTACAAGGCCATCGCCAACAGCTTCTATTCCCAGGGATCATACTATTCATGAAACCTTTTCGTCTCTCATGGGAACTTATCATCACTCCCCAGAGTATCCCCTTAAAAGATTTCTTAGATGGATGCTGGGACTTCAAAGTATTGCTTTCCCAGCGTCTTCACTGCCGGCCGCAAAGTGATATTGAGCAGGCATGCAAATTGATTCAAAGGAAGATTGTTATGATATCGACATTCAATGTCCCAGTCTTTTCTGCAAAAGATCTACCTCGTAAAGCTTTTAAAGCTGTCACAGACGCCTTTTCCACTCACCAAGCATGTTTGCCACCTCACCAGATAGAGCTGTCAACGTTACTACCAGGGGATCAAAGGAAGCTGTGACTGACGATAGGCCTGCGGTGAAGTCTGTATTGGTAGTACTGGCGTGCACGATGGCGCACATCGTCAATGTGTGTGCTTTTTCCTTTTATTTTTGCTGGGCGGCTGAGCGTTAATATGGGTTTTCCAGAGCGCCAACACAAGTGCGGTCTCAGTGGCTTTGCCCACAATCGGGATGGACTTAGATATTGCGGAGGCACGGTTGAACTGGATAGTGGCTTCCGGTCCATTAACCACGGTCCGTCGTCTTTCGGTCTCGATTACGTGTTTCCAGCGCGCTAATAGACCATGCAGGGCTGTTTCCTAATGATGTTTGGGCGAATTTGCGATCTGTACGGTCGCAAGAAACCATTTCTACTCGGTTCGCTGTGGATGGCGGTGTTCACATTAAGCATCACCTTTGTTAGAAGTGAGTTCTTTCTATTTCTGCCTCTTTGCACCTCGTCAACCAATGTACGTTCCAGATGATATCACTCTTGACATCTTAAGAGGGCTGCAGGGCGTAGGACGTGCTGCTATGATGCCTGCTGCGGTAGAGACTATGATGTTGCCATGATTCATTCCACTGATAATGGTTGGCAGGTCGGAATCCTCTCGGATGCATTTCCCTCTTCCCAGGTGCGATGGAAGGCCATGGCCGCTTTCACCGCCGGCCAGCCTATTGGTACTGCGCTTGGGACAGTCATTGGTGGGGTCTTGACTCAGCTCACTGCGTAAAGGCGTTGCTCTTCTTTTGCTCGAACGAGCTCTCACCCGTCCCAACAGGCCATCCTGGCGGGCGCCATTTTATCTTATCACAGTGAGTTCGATCTCTTCCTATGGACCACGCCTTTATTTTGCGACTGCCAGGCTCTGACTGCCGTAACTTTCGTCCTTGGTCTATACGTCATTGACGATGATCTTCCATCCACCGAAACGGATCTACGGATCGACTGGGTCGGTGCGGTCCTTATCAGTGCCGGCCTTCTGCTCGTCGTGTTCGTCTTATCTCAAGGCGAGCTGGCCCCGGAGCAGTGGAAAACTTCGTGTACGCTGTTTCGTCTCTACATAGGTCCTTGAATCTTACCCTGAAAATAGATATCGTTGCCCTCCTCCTCCTCGGCGTGGCGTTCATTGTGGCATTCTTTCTTTGGCAACGCTACCTTGGACAGAACTGTGATATGAAGTCTTCAACACGGTATCCACCACCGCTGATGCGATTATCTCTGTGGACGCGGGCGAACGGGCGCGTCGCAGCTACGTTCATCATTGTGTTCTTGACATGGTGCGCTTTGTACTCATGGCTGTATTGGGCGCAGGTATATCCTTTGCGTTCTATCTCTCTGTGCCCGCCTCTAATCCCTCCCAACAGTTGTATTATCAGAACTACATGGGACTGGCACCTCTCGCCACTGTCACTCGTCTCCTCCCCGCCTACCTCACCGGTATACTGTACAATGCCTTGATAACAATACTCATCGGCCGCGTTCCCCTGGTGTACCTTATGGTTTCCGGAAACGTCTTAACTGCCATCGCCAGTTTGCTATTCGCCCTGATCGATTCTGACTCGGTGTATTTCGCCTTTGGGTTTCCGGCGGCTATCTTGGCGCCCGCGGGTGCTGGATTCGTATATGCTTGCACGATGATCTATGTCACGAAGGTGGCTAGTCCACACGAGCAGAGCATGGTCGGAGCTGTAGTACAAACCATGACCCAAGTAAGTATACTCGCCGATAGTTGCAATTTTCCATCTGAGCTCACTTCCATTTTGCCCTAGCTCGGCACGTCCCTCGGCGTCACATTATCCACTGTTATCTTCGATCAAGTATCTGGAGGCCAGGCGAACTCGCGCAAAAGTACAACTGATTTGGATAGCTACAGAGCGGCGGAGTGGACGAATTTTGCGTTTGCAGCGTTGGGTATGTGCGTTTGTGTTACTATGCAGATGACCCTGATGTTTTTGCCAGCGGTATTGTTAGCTCTGATCGTCTTTCGCGGCGTCGCAGACACAGTGGGTGACAAGGAAGAAAGTGGATCCACGGACAGTTGCACCACCATTTCTCAAAATGATACACATTGTTAGAAGCCCCCCGCACTGTAAAACACCCTGCCCACAAATGGCAAATTGGTACCAGCAGGGCTTTGCTGTTTGATTAATCATGTCCGGACCGGACGTTTTAACTTTTTTGAACCATGTCCCCCTTTTGTGTCCATATGTATCAAATGATAGGCGGGAATATCTTATTCGGTAAAAAATGCTTTGTTAGACTCCATTTCGCATCATAGGCTCTGCCTCTTTGGAACTTCCGAAACCTCCCATGCGCGACCCAATCCGGGCATCACTAGTGGCCAGACCCGTCCCTGTTTCGAAAAATAACACCGTTTGGGAGATAATTTCCGTTTAAAAAGACTCCGGAAGTAAAGGGGGGGCCGCCATTGCATTTCATCATGGAAACGCAAGTGGTGAGTCCTTTGTGGTGGTCTTTCAACTCGTGCAGCTGTGTAATCGCATGTAGCCTTCGTCGACAAACATCCTCGTGATTGGTGGAGGACCCGCTGGGTCTTACGCTGCCGCCGTTCTTGCGAGAGGTAAACACTCTGTGCTAGTTTCTTCTTCAAGTATTCATGGAAAACCACGCACAGAGGGTTTCGAGGTCCTCCTCCTAGAGAAGGACGTCTTCCCCCGGTACCACATCGGAGAGAGCATGCTTCCATCTTGCCGCCCGTTCCTCAAATTTATCGGTTTGGAAGAAAAGGTGAAAAACTACGGTTTTGCGCCAAAGGTACCTTTTGCTGCCCCCCCCCCCCCTTCCCCCATCACTTCTTCTCACTATCTGATCGATCGTCGTTTAGCCTGGGGCAGCAGTCAAGCTTAATCAGTATAAACGCGAAGGATGTGCGTATGGATGATGCTGAGATAACGCCCAGTCCGCGCTGACGGACGTCTTCCCTAGACACCGATTTCATATCAACCAACCCCGACAACGGGGCTTGGAACGTCGTAAAGCATTTTATTTCTTTCCTCCTTTTGACATGACATCAATAACCTCGCCACCCTCATCCACATCCAGGTACGATCAGAATTCGACGAGCTCCTCCTCCGCCATGCAGCGGAAATGGGCGTCCACGTGTGCGAGGGCGTCCGAGTTGAGAAAGTGCGCTTCGCGCCTGACGAGCCTGTTCGACCGGTTTCGCTCGTTTGGAGTAGTAGTAGAGGAGGCGACGCGACCGCGACGCGGGGGGGAGAAGTGTCCTTTAGGTGGCTTGTTGATGCTTCTGGGAGGAACGGGCTGATGTCCACGAGGTACCTGAAGAATAGGACGTTCAACGAGTCCCTGAGGAACGTCGCGGTATGGGGATATTGGACTGGTGCGGAATGCTACGCGCCAGGGACGACGAGAGAGAATGCACCGTGGTTTGAGGCGTTGACCGGTAAGTAGTAGTAGTAATAGATCCGCTCTCGCTTCCGTTGTGACACTAAAAATTTTCTTTTTTTTTACCATTCTAGATGAAACGGGTTGGGCTTGGTTCATTCCCCTTCACAATGGAACTACTAGCGTCGGCGTCGTCCTCGTCGAGGAAGAGAGCAGGCGTAAGAAGATGCAGCACCGTTCGAAATCAAACGAGAAATCGCCCGAGGAGGTACAGCACGACTGCTACATGGCGGATCTTCAACGAGCTCCTGGGCTTATTCGGCTCCTGGGAAATGCGAGATTCGAAGGAAAGCTTAGGTCCGCTGGTGATTATAGCTATCATGCGACAGAACATGCCGGCCCCAATTATCGTATTGCCGGGGATGCGGGGGGTTAGTCTGATTTCTTTTCTTCCAAAAAATTCCCCTCCTCTCGACAGTTGAAGCTGACGCCCAGGGGCTTTTAGCGTTCATCGACCCGTTCTTCTCGTCTGGTATCCACTTGGCGTTTACCGGTGGATTGTCTGCGGCTAGTACCATCGCTGCCTCGATTCGAGGGAATTGTACTGAAGTGGAAGCCTGCGGCTTTCACAACGCGAAAGTAGGAACCGCGTATACACGGTATGAATTCCAAAACAAAACGGCGTGTCTGGCCAGTTTTTCTCATTGGCGGGAAAATTGTTCTAGCTTCCTTCTCGTTGTTCTCGGCGTCTACAAGCAGATACGGTCCCAGGAAACGGCCGTTCTGTACGACGTCGATGAAGACAACTTTGACAGGGCGTTTCATTTTCTTAGACCTGGTAATTCTCGGTTCATTTAAAATTTTGTGTAGGGCTGAGTTAGTTTCTCGTCGATTTTTAGTCATTCAAGGATCCGCGGATGCAGACGAACATCTCACAGAGGCGGAGCTCCAGAGCACACTCGATTTCTGCAGGAACGTGTTTGCGCCTACCCGGCCTGAGGCTCATGAAGCTGCTGTTCGGCGACTTGGGAGTCTGGCTGATCCAGATGGGCCTTTGCTTGGCACGGACACTGTTGACGAGCTCACTGGAACGGACATGGACGCGAAACACGCGCTGTGGAAGATCAACGCGCGGAAGCCGCTACATTCGATGTATGACTGTAAGAGGAATTTTGGAACGGAGATTATTAACGGGTTCTATGTTAGGATGGTGCAAGGGATGTTGGGTCTCGTGCGCGTCTAGCGTCATTCTAATTTTTGTACCAACTTTTAGTCTGTAATGAAGAGCCTCTGTAAGTTACAGGCGTTGATAAATGGATATTCTACAGTCGCTGAATTCCCGGGGATGTCTGCCGTACGGTACTATACTGTTACGGTCGTAAGTCTTAGATAGTGTGATTCGCTATGTAAATTAAAGGTACCCATATCATATAATTATTGGGTTCGCTTCATTGTCGACTTGGCACAACTCCCTCTTATATCCGAGGCGCTAGACCGCATCCATATGCACCCATATCTCGGTAATTGCTAACCATACTTGGCGGGGAAGAGATCATGGCATGTTTGACAAATATACGAGATAACCGCAGCCTGTTAATTAGGAATAGTGTAGGGTGAGATGAGCGCCTTGAGTGGGCTCCTGGAACAGTGGCCCGGGAAGCAATAAGGTGGCAGAAGGAAGGTGAGAAGGACTTTACTCCTCCGCGGCCCTACTCGTAACCTATGCAAGCCTTCGTAACACCGTGCTCTTCACGGTAAGGCATCCACAAAGTAGGTCTAAACTAATATGCGTAATGGCTCCCATTGTCAGGACTGAGCCGAAATCACTCCATGATTTCCTTGTCAGACTGGATCCGAAGGGATTCGAAGTTGGCCGGTTCCGATATGAGGTCGGAGCATAATTCGTATCACGATGTATATAGCCTGCTGGAAACCGATATTATTCGGCCACGTGCATTGGGAAGTGGGGATAGTAATGGTATTGAAGGCGGTTTACATGTCAGTTTATACTTCGTCAAGCATGGCCTCGGATCTTGGAGGGGAACCCGGTGTTGACCCGGTGCCGCGAAGCCCATGAACCGTGAATGGTTTTTGAACTCGACGCGCGTGAATTCCGGGGAAACGCAGGGATCACAGGGTGATGTAGAAGGGAATGTCTATTTCGTCAGCTCACCTGGGAGATTCAAGAAGCGAACGTCGTCTGTCCCCCCCCCCCCGATGTCCAAAGCAGATATAGATAAGATCTCTCAATTTAATTGGTCGGAAGTTCGGCCGCCGGCAAGGGAGCTTCATTGATATAGCGGTTCGTCGGCTTCCATCTCCAATTTCTGCGACGCGTCGCACTTGAGAAAAACAACTCGAAAATTGCGTTTAGCCGGAAAATGTCTCTGTCTCTCCACTTCCTTCTACCATCATGTCCATCGAAAAGGGAGACAAGAACGAAGCGGAGCAGAATTTCAAGGTTCCCCCCATTATGGCTGTTCCCACTCAGAGAAGTAGCCTTCGGTCTGTGTTAATCGTGGCTACCTGTACGATTGCAATGATCGTCAATGCAAGTTAACTTTTTTTCGTGATCCATGTTTTTTTTTTCTTTCATTCACTGACTGTCAACACTTGTCTGCAGCAGTCGAACAGTACTGCGGTATCGATCTCTTTGCCTACAATAGGCGATGACCTCGGTATACCGGAAGCAAAACTCAACTGGATCGTCTCTGCGTATCCTCTAAGCTCTGTAAATGCCTACACTACACCTCACCCCCCCACGTTCCGTCTGACGTCTGGGGACAGGGCTGTTTACTCGTCTTGTTTGGCAGGATAGCGGATTTGTACGGCCGAAAACGGATGTTCTGTGTTGGGTCATTGTGGCTGGCGGCTTTTTCCTTGGGATGTTCATTCTCTAAAGGTATGTTGTTGTGTCCCCCCCCTCCCCCCCCTACCTCCCCGTGAACCCGAGATGGATAATCAACGATGTATAACAGACGCTATAACGCTCGATATACTGAGAGCATTTCAAGGAATTGGAGCTGCCGCAACCATACCCGCCTCCGTATGCTTTTACGTATAATCAGATTTATTTTATTTTTTTTGCTTATTACTATACACAGATCGGTATCCTCGCCCATGCCTTTCCGCCATCACGCGCTCGCTCCATTGCGTTTGCCACTTTTGCTGCAGGAGCACCACTAGGCGGTGCCTTTGGACTAGCTATCGGTGGCGTACTAACGCAGCTCACCAAGTACGTGACCCCATTCTTGCCTTTTCCCCCTCTCGGATTGTCACGAATCAAATAATTAGACGGTCGTGGCGTTCGCCCTTTTACCTCTCTGCTGTAGGAGATCTTCAATTTATTGTTTTTTTGGGTTTCTGGTGATGCAACTGCTCACTTGCACAGGGCGTGTGCGCAGCATCATTCGTAATGGGACTGGTCGTCATCGATGCCGACCTGCCTTCGACGGAAACAGACCAGCGAATTGATTGGATCGGTGGATTCCTCGTCACCGTCGGTCTCGTACTCATTGTCTTCGTTCTTTCTCAAGGAGAGGTGGCTCCTCAACAATGGAAGACACCATGTGTGTTTTTTTTTTTCCCCCGTACTTGGCCTTGGGTTGCCTGATAGGTTCTGTAGATATCATCGCGCTTCTCATAGTCGGTGTGATATTCGTTGCGGCATTCCTGTACTGGCAATACCACCTCGAGAAGCAACTGGATGACCCATCGGTGCCCAAGACCAAGTGGAACCCTCCGCCTCTGATGCGGCTATCCCTATGGACAAGAGCAAAGGGCCGTGTGGCAGTTATGATGACTGTTGCGTTTCTGCAGTGGTGCGGTTTTTTGGCATGGTGTTATTGGGCTCAGGTGCAGTGTGCCATTCTTCTCGTCATCTACCCGTCTGCATTCTCAAAATCGATCCCCCCTCACCCCGGTAGCTGTACTATCAAAATTACAAAGGATATACTCCTCTTCTCACTGTGATCCGATTACTCCCGATGTGCGTATCTGGAATTACATGCAATGTGATTGTAGCGGCTCTTGTAGGGCGTCTACCACTTGTGTGGTTTATGGGTACGCTCATCTATCGTCGAATAGCTAGCTTATCCTAAACTCAGTAACTTTCCCTTTCCAGCCATCGGAACTGGTTTAACAAGCGTCGCCCCCCTCCTATTCGGTCTAATAAACCCCAATGCGACGTACTGGGCGTTCGGGTTCCCTGCAGCCATAGTCGCAGTCGTTGGTGCCGACTTTGTGTTCGCTGGCGGGACTCTGTTCATTGCCAAGGTATCATTGCCGCATGAACAGAGTCTTGCGGGAGGCGTATTTCAAACCATGACCCAGGTAGGTAGTTCTCTCTTCCAGTTTGAAGGAGGAAAAGTAGCTAATGGGGTTGACAGCTCGGGACATCTGTTGGTGTGACGGTGTCGACTGTTGTTTTCGATCGTGTATTACGCCAGCGTTCGGCGGATATGGGAGTGATTTTAGATGCAAACGCAGATGGGGCACCGAAGGCTGCTCAATTGGATAGCTATAAAGCGGCCGAGTGGACTAATTTTTCCTTTGGCGTGTTGGGTATGTCATGTCAGTTTGGCTTGTCGTCATATGATGCTGAGCTTCATTCATCTTCGGTAGCCACGATTCTGGCGCTGATTTTCTTCCGCGGTGTGGGTGTTGTGGGGCAGCATCGCAAGCAGATTGATGATCAGGAACGGACGGTCACCGATCCGATTTCCGAGAGTAAGACATAGACACCACATATGTGGTATATGTGGTATGCCATTTATACCTTTTTTTTTGGACTTGGCGCATGCATACCTAGATTCTCTGTACGGCAAAATCTGGATGTAACCTCGTAGACAACTTGTATTTAATATCATAGTTCTTCACTGACCAGGTTTACCTGATGTCGATTCGGACCGGCGGCTGATATGATCTGTTTTCCACCAGCAATACCAATACCATTACTCGCAAGAGTCTCATAACAAAGTAAACATAACATAGATCGTCAGCTGCATTAGTTGAGCTTGGAGCCTTGGAGATTACAAGCAGACCATGAACGTAATGCTTGAGATCCGAGTCCATTATAATTAATATGGATGCCGAGCAATACGCCGCTATTTGTTTGCCGTACCTGGCACGTCAACGCCGTTTTTCACTCGCCAATTTGACTTTCAACCAACGTGCCTAGAAAAATGCAACAGGTTGGATGCGATGCTGCTAGGGAATGGAATGTAAGGTTGGATGTTAATTTCCCCAGCGGCTTGACTGACTTTTGAAACAAGGAACCTGGATTTGTATGCAGGTCATGGCACGAGGACAGAACTATAACCTAATGACCTATGTTGGTCTCTTTCCTCTTCTGCGATTTTCTCGACGAATGCGTGATAATCGTTAGATCTCGGAATTAGGCCACGCACGTCATTGGAGATATGGAACAGCAGGGCGTTATTAATGCCGCAGTGCTTGGCGGTCCTACAGTATGCTGCTCGCAGTGGTATGTGACATCTTCGACTGTTGCATCTCCCAGAATAGGCTCAGTTGCATCGCAGGTCACTATCCAAGGTCATACAAGCAGGTCTCGACCGGTATCCTTACAAGTACTACACGTGTGTTGCTCCGCTTTGCTAAAAGCTACCATTCCATGGCTGATGAAACGTTTTACAGTATGCAAACATCATTACACGAATCATACTTGCCAAGATCCGAATGAAAGCAATGCTGACGTCACATACTATCTCTCACACATGGAATCGACTCTTCTTCCTCGCCCAACACCTCAGATGGCCCATACCTAGATTGGAACTCGGACGGCATCGCCCTCGCCAGGGAATACGGCATCCTGGTTCTCCTTACGGAATACAATACACTGTCCTGTGGCAGCACCAACATTGCCGCGCTCTGGCTGATTGACGCTGGCCTCAGGAGCGGCGCCGCGCGGGAATTGTCTGTGGCCTACATCCACATGCGGGAAGCTGGTATTCAGTACAACCAACCTCTTTGACCTTCGTCGGGGTGGATCACGGGTGCGCCGTGCTACGCAGCACTGTTCCTAGCGGAGACGTTTAGTGCGAGCGCGGGAACATTATCGGTCACTTGAACCTCGATGACAACCCAGGGGCGACGTCGGCTCCACGCCGGGGGAAGATCGTCGTCGTGCTCAACCTGAGCGAACGGGGCGACGAGCACGAGCATGGTATCCCGGCCGGCGAATTTAACGCACGCGCTGCATTACCGCTCCGTCAGTGTTTAAGATGTGTAGCATCTCATGAGCTGGCCAGACGGTGGGGGGGGGGACCAGGAGACGCTCTATCTTCCAGGCGCTGGGGCCGCTTTGGGTCATACTGGGAGAACCGCGTGATGGCGGTAGCTTTCACTACGGGAATTCCACGGTCAAGGGATTTGAGAGCACTAGAAGTTCGGTGAGGTGAGGTTTGGATTGGATACACCAACGTTATTGTTAATGATACTGACATCCGTGCTTGTTAATGCAAAGGGTTTGTCATAGCTCAACCGGGCCGTTTCTGGTTTTGATATCCAAGTTATCTGATATCCATCTCTGATGTACCTGCTGCGCGGAAGCGGCGCTTAAAGGCCGCCACGCAAACACCTTTTTGTGTTATCCGCTCGTGGTGACAAAGTTCACGTGGAAACTACTGACAATTCGAACGCCATTTCCTCAGACCATGCCCACTCCCAACCAAAATTCGGAAAAAAACTCATCTGAAGCTGAAATCGCTTTACTGACTCAGAAGCTCGCCACGCTGACCGCTGGACGTGATGAACTGGGAGGAGGTTCCGAGGCCAATGAATCTGTCGACCCAGCTGGCACTTGCACTACTACAATTTGTAGTCTTCCGACAGAGCTGCACAGACTCCCGAGCTGTGGTCATCCCTACACCTTGTGATTCCTCGTTCGGGTCGATTCCATATCCCCGACTCGCAACCTGAACTATACGAGCAGATGCGCACGGGCTTCGAATATTGGCTGGAACACCCAGGAGGCCTCCCACTAGATCTCTCCCTCCGCTCCGAAGAAGGACGGGAGGACGAGTCCCACGTCGGATGGGTGTTCGAGCGAGGGCCCGATGGAAGCATTGCACAGTGCACATCCCCTTCGTTTTCGCTGGGCGTGTTCTCTGACCTTCCGGGTGACCTTCTCGAGTCATTATAGTACGGCACGTCTGACTTTCATATTATGCCGTTACGATTCGAACGTACCGTACCGTACCGGCTTTCCAGTCCTGTCCTCTCCGCTTCGACTGCCCCCGCCGAACGTGCGGAAAATCACGTTCTACTCGGTCTCGCCGGGGGCTCCTTCCCCCGCGCTCCTCGTGGATATAACGAGTCTCACCCTCCGGCGACGCGAGCGCTAGGATATCAACAACCCCCGGAGATGTTCACGGTCCTCGGCGCGTGCACTCACTGCCGCATCTCGACGACCGAGAGGTTCCACCCGCAACCGGACGCGTGCGCGTCTGTGTCTCCCGCACCTCAAGTCACCCCAAGTCGAGTCGAGGCATGCGGGCCCCCCCGGCCCCGGGGGATAATAAGGCCGAGGTTCCTGAACTGACCCCGACCTCTTCACGTACCCTCGTGGCTCCCGCGCTCGAGGTGGTCGATGGCGACGGGCTGCAACCATGAGGGTGACTACTGCTGGGGATGCTGATGAGGAAGCTCAAGCTCCGCTCATATCTATTTGTCCATCCATCCATTCGGCGGATGTCCTGATTTCCTCCTGTCTGGACCGCTTGCCTCCCTGCGCTGGTGATGGAGCTCACTATAAGGGATAACGACTGCCCGTGTGGATCGGGGGCTACCGGTTCCCAATCGTCACGGATACCCTCATCCAGGCGCTCACCCGGCGCGAAACTGAGGATGGATGGTAATTTTGGGTTTGAGGAGGGGACGCTGGAGCGGCTGTTGGCGCGGCGCGGTTTGGAAGGACGCCGGACTTGGTTGGGTGGGAAGGGGGGGTTCGTGAGGATGAAGAGTTGTAAGATTTCAACCGTATCGGAATTTTGGGGTCGGGGTGCGGGGTGTTGAAGATGCGTGTGAAGGTTAACAAGCTATCCATGTATGCTGCGAACTTGAGGTGGGCGGGGAGGCCGTGGTTTGACTGAACTGCCAAAGGGCGTGAAATGGTGGCCGTTGCATCGTAGTACGATATCCTAGTGGGTTTAATGCATGGGTAACTCTTATTAATAAGAGTTAGGTTCGAATCCTAGCATGGGTAGTTAATTGGGATGGCTTTCAATAAGCATTTGCATAGTCTCATTTTTATACCTCTGCCAATGTCCATCCACACGGATGCTCGTTGTAAATATACCGGCGTGTTAATCTGGATGGATGACGCGCTATGTGCATTTATTGATCTGCAGCCTTAGATACTTCCGGGGAAACCGATTGCGATCGGATTTCTTCTTCCTCTTTTTACCTTGTATTTTATGTTCCTTACCGGAATAGAGTCGTTTCTTATTCTGTTGCAACGCGTTCAGTATTTCCCCGAACTATCACGGTCAGGGGTCCACGGCGGTAACCAACAGACAAATTCCAATGCCGATGTGAGGCTCGACCCTTCGTCGTATTTAAGCCCGTGGAAGGAAAATAATGACAAAGAAGAGTAGCAACAAGGCGGTGGTGATGGGATGGACAGATGTGGTAAAGGACGCTCTCTCTGATGTCGTAAAATAAGCGGCCCGTACATGTCCCCTTCCACTTCAGTCGTATGTTCATCCATACTAAGCAATATCGACAACAGCATATTCCCATCCACATCAATCTGGGGATACGACCGTTAAAGAAGAGATCCCCCAGTTGTCTGTATTGCGGCCAAGTAGCATCGGTGACTTACCGGCAACTAAACGGTGTAACCTCAGCGCCACGCTAAGCCGTGCTTGTTACCCTCACTACCGATAAAAGTGGTCTCGTTACTAATCTTCCTTCCCATACCCCCCCTTCCCATCGAGCTGAATACATTCTTAACACCAGCCAAGTCTCTTTCGTTATTCAGAACCTTGTGGGCCTGCCCCCCCCCCTCCCGGTGAACTCTCACACACCCATTCTCATTCTGGGCTTCCCCCACAGAGAACAGCGCAATTCCATCTTTTCGACGTTCGGAGGAATTTTCCCCGGTATGGCTTCTTAGGCGAGAAATAATTCCGGCGTTTTCCCGTTTCCTATATTAACCCTGTGCTGCGCTGTACGCGCCCAGAACTTGCTGCTGTCCGTATCTTATAATTGCTGATGAGTGTTTTTTCTTGCTTCAGGACGTTGCGCGTTTCGCAAATTATCGGTTCCGATGGCAGAGTCGAGTCCCCCCCCCAACACGGTCGTCATGCACCAAGTGTGATATAAGGTGGCGGCTACACGTTTCCTTCATCGCTTTCGGTCCGTCTCCCTGCATACTCTGGCCCATTGATCTCGAGTCTTCTTGCTTTCTTCTTCGGCAGGGCCATCACACGTCGTACAGGCTCATCGGTTGTGGTTTCTATATCAATTTCAACCTTTTTGAAAGGTTCCCGCCCGTCCTGGGAGTTTATTCATCTCATTCCTGCACACTGCAATAATCTTACGGCCTTTGGTTTGCAGGGGGTGCGCGTATGCAACGTTATTTCTCTCTATCTTTTTTTAAATGATATTTGCGTGATATTCTAATTGAGATAATGGTCCCGAACCTGCAGTCCTCGGCTAGAGCAGCATATTTCGGTACCGCACCAGTCCGTGTCGTAAATTGGACTCGGGTAGTGTTGCCGAGGTGTCTCAGGCAGGGTTTCGATTTCAGTAAAGCAACTCGGCTTGTTCGGCTCAGAAGTGTGCTTTCATCTCGATGTCAAGTCTTGAGTACAGCGAATGGAACACAGATGGTTGAAACGGTCCAAGTCAGGCTGGGCAAACATGTGCAAAAGGTGCAGCAGATTCAAGGTATGGGTCACTTTGAACACACATGCTTCTGTCCTTCATGATTCCATTCTCAATGGAAAACCTAAACCATGCAACATCTGATTTTAGTGAAACAAATCTCGGAATTATTGAGAGGCAAGCTCTATGTCTATGGAAGTTGTAATTAGGGCTCTTTGAAGCTGCTCAAACTGATTTGCGTTAGAAAACGTTCCTGAGACAGCTCGCAGTCCTACAGGAGTCTAAGCATTCGCCATCTGATAAGATTGCCTGGGAACGACAGGAGGATCTGATTCGAGCACAAGCTTATTTTCACCGGGCCGGTAAGTAGCCTACAATTACTTCCCCTTTTCCCGACTGTTTAAGCTGTCTGGTGATCCCTCGACGTTTGGATTCCTGCCGCAATGCCTGCCATTCGCCATTCTCTCCTTCAGCTTCACACGATGAACACCGCGCGTCATCATTCAACGTTACCCTTCGCTATAAATGAAATTTAATTACCTCATGTCGTTATGACGTCAGTACCAACGCTTCTTTTTTTAGGTTGAAATCAGGGACTCCTTTTAGTCTCGGTTTTGAACAGTCCGCCCGTCAACTGACTGTTTATATAAAATTGATCTGCAATATCTATGCCAAGTAATTTCCGAAAGCGTGTCTTCGCACAAAAATAGTAAAACAGGAATAAGACGATCTAAGACGTCATCCGATCTCGTGGAACAATGACGTAGGCCCCTTACGACGGCGCAAAAATCAGGCCTATTTAAATTTTTCCTTTCTTATCCATCATCCCCCATCACCCTGTACTCCACATCGCCTACCTCATACTCCACTGCACGTACCTAACTTGCATTCGTACTTTCACTAGGCTCCAAATTCCAGCTAACAACGATTGCGGAAATGACTGGGGGACACAGATGCCCCGTTTGCGAAGCGACATTCACCAGGCCACAACATGTAGCGCGTCATATGCGTTCGCGTGAGCCCTTCCAGCTCCACTTTGTTTGTATCTGTGGTACTCATTATTCTACCTGACATATTCTCCACTATACCTGATGCTCCCTCCACGGACGGTCTCTACGGATCGCATCCGATTTTTCCCATCTTAAGACACTGGCGACCGACCGTACGAATGCACCGACTGTTTCGAGCAGTATACACGGAGGTACGAGTCCATTTATTTGTGGTTTTCCGCGATTCGCGGCTAATGGGTCCGTCTCCTAGCGACCTCCTTGCACGACACACCAAGCGATGTCACATTTCCCCGACGGAGAAGATCCTTGCGAAAATCAAAGGGCGGCGGAAAGCCTCGGCTACGCGTGCTCTGACCAGCAAGCAAGCATGCGACGAATGCGTGCAGAATAAACTCTCTTGCGACGGAAGTATCCCCTGTCGTGAGTTTTCCTTTCATTAATTCTGTCCTGGTTAGCGTCGACATCGCGGGTCCGGCTTGACATTTCATTGGAGCCTTCAGACGAAAGCTTTTCATAGCTACTCGTCATGAATATGTCAATTCTCCGCCGTGGGTCGACTGCCTGCTAGCCTAGGCCATTCACTTTGCATCCAAACTTGTGCTGATTAATATCGCCGTAGCCACATGCGTACAACGAAGTGTTCCTTGTACATTCATCAAGTTTTACCGACAGACGGCGCCTTCGGGCCCAGGTCACAACCCCCATCTTCCGAGGCATATACCATCTAATGCGCCGCGATCTTATTTTCCCCAACCCGTAGCTATACCTTTCCCAAGTCAGCAGAATTTTTCGTTCCAACCTGCTCCACAACCGTATCTAACCAACCTCGCCGACCACCAGTCCAACTACCGCGATCTCATGCACAACCAGACGCAGCAGCAGCCCAGCCCCGTACTTTACGACCGGACGTCGTCATGGATGAAGCGTGATGAGCCTGAGCCTACGTACAATGGCGTCAATGGCGGAGGCGCCGGTGTCGCGAGGGCACGTTCTGTCGAACATCATCACAACCACTACTCCCACTCCAACCAAGTCTATGCCGGCATGAGGGGTTGGGGGAGAAGAGATTCGCTAGAGAGCGGAGGCAGTAGCGCCGCAAGTGGGAGTAGCGGCGCCAGTAGCAGCGTTCACTTACCCTTGTACGAGAACGTCGATCCTTCACCGGCGGCAGATCCACGCCTGGAAGCATTCGGAATGATGACCTTCGAGGAGCGCAATGCCCTCTACGATGGCGCCGCTCCGTTCTTTGGTGACATTTTCCCATCGTCATCGGCGCAGCAGTCGACGACGTCCGCGAACAGCCACGCGTCGGTACCCGGCATGATGCAGATTCCGACTCCACGCGAAGCCGAGACCAGGGAACTTCGTGAGTTTCTGAAGGAGTACATGAGCAGCACGCCCTTGAGTCACCCGGCTAACCACCACACCCATTCGACGTCTCCTCCTGCGTATCCGGCGGTGGGCCCGCCGAACGGGAGGAAACGTGTGTCGAGCATGCCGAGCGTGAACACGCCTACGGGGAGTATCGTTGGCGGTGGAGGAGGAGAGGGGAAGGGCAGCTTCGAGGATGCGGTTATGGCGCGGAAGACGCTGGGGGATCTCAGCATGGGAGGGATCCAAGGCATCAAGGGTCGGCGGATGACGCACGTCAATCCCCCGTCGTCGTCGTCGTCGTCGTCGTCGCCATATCTGCACGGCCACCCGTCGTTAAACCATAGGCCCGCGTATGGTGTCTCGCTCGCTGGGGCGATGGGCGACGAGGAAATTCCGAACTGGAAGCGGCCTCCTGCTCAGGATGCGGATCTGCACGGGAGGTCAAAGCGGCTGAAAGGCGATGATGAGGCTGACGATTCGAATGTTGATAGGATGGGGTGTGAATGAATGATCTGGAGGGCGTGGGTGTATGCATATGGATATATGTTTGGACACGTCGGCGGCTACATATTCCCCCTCATTTTATATGCTAGAATACCAGTTAGTTTGTCGAAATATTTAGATATTTATTTATTTATTCGGCAATGGAAATCGTATGTCATAAAATGAGAGTGAATTATGGGTACCTAATATGTTTGCAAGGAATGTAGAGAGGCGATGGAAGCCGGATCCGATATCTACGTGTTGCGTAGTAGTAGATAAGAGTTTTACGCTATAGGGTCCGAGTCATGCATACACCTAGGTTTCGGACCGGTAGGGGTTTTCATTGAAGTAACCGATTGGTCATGTGAGTGAGTATACATCGGTGTATGTATATTTCTATCCATAAAATAAAAGCAATTTGTGATTCTGGAATTTAAAAAAATTAGGAATTGCATCGTGCTTAGTTATCAAAACTAATTCTCGAGAAGGCTTGGTGAAAAATAGTAACTTACCTCCGGACAGCCGGATTCGACATTCAACCCTGAAACTTTCAAAGAAAAGAGTAGGTTATGGAACTCGCAGGCATCTCTGGCTGGGAGTCGAACCCAGCTTTCGCGCGCACAACGTTTGTCATATCATGACAGGCGCGTGTACTAACCGATATACTACCAGAGACCTACATGTCTGCTCCGAACATTCCTAGATCAGTCGTTGAAGTATGATAAGGTAAATTACCATATCAAAACTCCCCTTCGGTATAAAACACTAATTGACCCACCCTGAAGGTTTTGTTCGCAACCCTCAACCATTCAACCCTGAGAACAAAATATTTTGCCAGTTGAGCTCTCTGCCTGGGAATCGAACCCAGCTTTGGGGGCCTGTACTCACTGATACACTACCAGAGATGTACTTATCTAGTCATCACTAGTCATTGAAGTCAAATATCCCTTGTTTTAAAGCCTATTAACGATAGCTTCACTATGTAGGAGCAGACATCATTCCTCCCACACCATCGCAGTATTGTTCTCAATATCTGAATGCCATCTACGTCAAATGCCAGCCTAAACCAGTCTATAATTCACGTGGCTACAACGGTTGGACACACACACCCCGTCTGTCCCTGCAGGGTCTCTTGTGTTGGAGGATATCCGTACGTTTCATCTTATCTTACTTTTCGATCACTCGCTCTATTTACCTTATATATACTTACACCTCCTGTCGTTTCCCGATCACCTATATAGTCCAGCCATTCCTATCTGTATGCCTCAGTCACTTCACCCACGTTGTGCCCGACTGAGGTATGTATATCCCTACTGTGCTTATGACTATGATACTTACACTCGTTCGTAGATACTCACATATATTCTTCTGTCAATATCTTGGACTTGATGGAATATATTAACCTGCAAAATTTAAAGGAGCATGACGCTGAAAGACATGAGTTATGTCGGAGGCATGTCATGCAAAACCTTCATCGTCTGTTATAGCCATGAAGGGAATGAACCGTTGTACCTCAGATTGTCGGTGCTCTAAGAAAATGATGCACATTCGTAGCACCTAATAAAGTACACTGTTAGCTATAATGTAGACTACAGGATACCAATCAGTAACATAAACGAAGTAATATAAGTAGATACTCACCCTCACACAGCATAGCGATAAGCAGAAACGCGGTGAGGGTGCTCGACGGACCGTATTCAATATATATAGTCCATCCCGACATAAAGGGGTATCGAGCTCCGCTGGCGGGATACGAGGGAGCTCCTGCTTGCTAATCCAACAGGTGCATACGATGGAAGACGATAACAAGATTGCGACGGAAAATGTTTTTTTGAGGGAAATGACCATGTTGCAGTTTATGTGACCATTCCCCCGTGGTTCTGTACCGTACTCGATGCGAGAACTCGCAGTGTTATATGAAAAACGTGAGTTCTTGTTTCTACGATAGATCATCAGTGCATAGTACGTCCTTCGGTGTCCGATATCACTGTGAATGCCATAACAGTAATACGAAATATAGTGTTGCCAGCCAGCACCTAAGGAGAGAGAGGGAGAGAGATGGGTGATAAACGTCCGATGAATAAGTTTGACCGCGTCTGAAAGAAAAAAAAAAACAGAATATAAAGCATCTATAACTAAAAGATCATCCACCAAAATGAAAGAAGGATGAAAGGACTAAATGAAGTCCATTAATAAGTGTACAGGACCACGATCAGCAATTTTTATTTTTATTTTCCGAACCATGTACCAAATGACCAATCTAGAGGACTTTACGATGCCAGCTGAACTCTAAACCACTTGAACTTCCAAGCTTGCAGATCGGGGAGGTCCGGTCCCTGATTCGTCAAAACAGAGCTGAGGCTCTCTCTCCGGTCAACGGGCCATCCGTCTCTATATAATATCATGGCAACTTCGACTTGCTAGTCAACCCCGGCACCATCAATAACGCTAGCTGACTTTTTCCTGATCGCACGGGCAGCTATGGAACTTGCAAAGTTTGAAAGTCTCCTCTATGCGAGGGGCAAGAGAACAACAACACCACCACCACTGCGCCTCGGAAGGAAACCGCGACAGCGCCATCCGTGACAAACGGTCCGGCGTGGCGTGTGACGATCTCGGGGCTCTTCTTTCAGTTTGATAAGATAGAGCGGAGGGTCGGGACGGGAATGAATGGGCTAATTGCGACGGATTCGTTGGTCTCCGATCTGATCGGAACAGGTGGATGGCGGGCATGTTCCTCCTCAGGGGTTTTGGGAAGGCTGGAGGCCGTCATGATGGTGGTGGGGATCGTCGATGCGCAGGGCCAGTGTGAGTGACAACGGGAGGATTCGTAGACACTTGCACTGGGAAGAGAATTCGTTCCGTTCCTCCGGACCGTCAGACGGTGTAGGAAGGCGCACTTGCTCAGCCCGGCGCGGTTTGTATTTTAAAGAGAGCACCGTTCAAATGTTGGGAAGAGGGACTCCGACCCCCCCACTGACTGAATCGTGGTGCCCTGACAGAGATTTCGACTGTCGATTTCACAGTATGCGGGGGTCGGATTGAAGGTCGGTCGCGTACATAAGTACGCCCCTCCTCGAGGGTACCGAGGTTGTATAATGGAGTTTAAAAAGGTGGAATGGAATTCAAATGTGACGGAACGCCAACGCAGCCTGTCGTGCGGACGGCTCTATCCGAAGCACTGGGTGGACTTTCTGATATCGGTTGTCCTAGAGAATATTGAGTTATTTGAGTGTTTCAATGATTCCACATGATTTTCAGCATAGCACAACTAGAGACAAGGAGGAGATAGCAGAATAACTGTACCGGTGAGAGTAAGCTTGTGTTAGATTCATCCTATACGTGACGCGAACCTTTTTGTGAAGCCAGTATTTTCAAGCAGATACTGGTATACGGCACCCATTCTGCGGTTCTCTAACTGTGGAGGGAGAATGAGTGAAGCCTGCTACAACTTGAGGGTATTTAGGTTTGGACCAAGGATCGCGGATATTATCAAGACTGGCGCGGGTTAATGGCGAATCAAGTCAGGCACGACAGGAATCAGGTAGGCGGACTGGCAGCCTTCGATATTGTCTACTCGCCGTGGAACCGCTATGTCGCCAAAACTTTTTTAAAAAAATATTTGAGGGTTACCAGGGAAACACCACGCTGGTACTCTGTCATTAGTACCACCCTACGGGACAAGTAGAATAAGTAATAGTCTGACGACTTGCATACCTGTTAGATCTCTGCGGATCCTTTTTCAACTATGACAAGGACGGCATGAAGACGGATGCATAATTTGAAACCGCTGTCCCTGCCAATAATAGCATAATAAGAGGACGACGATCAGGGCGGTTTAATAGACTGCGCGATCATTCTTCGTAGCAGCTGGAAATATTATTAGTGTGATCGAAGCCGCCAGCGCTTGAGTATACCTTGAATGCAATCTTGGGGTAGCATTAATCAAAAGCATGAATATGGAGGTCGAAAATATGCAGGGCGCACATTATTAGAGGACTCTTTGAAGGTCAGAGGGAAATTGGATTGCTCAGAATCATAAGGTCATCTGTAACGACCATTTAACGTTCATAGTATGTACTTGAAGTTGGAGCACGATCGGAATAGAGAGAAAGAGACATTGCCTCTTAGCCGGCGCGCCTCTTCCTAATATTTTCTGGGTTAAAAGATGTGTCCGCCAGGCGTGTGCAAATTGACACACATCCCCAATATCAATCTGAGCGAGAAAAAAAGCGTCCAACACGTTCCGAAGACAATGAGAAGACAGCCTTTCAGTGATCGGGGTTTGAATCACCGGGCTGGCGCTGGTGTCAACCGCCGCCTCCAAAACCCAAAATTGCTGCGTGCGCGAATCGAAAATGCCTCAACTAACCGTAAGATACCGATGGTTACAGTACGCTCCCTTCCTGGATGTAAAATTACAAAAAACGCACTAAAAACTCAAGCAGGCCCACTGGTGTCCGCGCCTTGTTTCGCATCCCGGACCTGGCCTTTCACATTCACAGACTGGCCGACAACATCCGTGCTTTTCTTCGTCCTGGCGTCACCCCCACTTTTGTCTCCCCGCACGCCTTCCCATCCCCCTGTAACCGGAAAAAAACTGTTTAAAACAGACGCACAGTAAAAAGACGAAAAAGAACAAACTGTCAGGCAAGTTTGTTGTCATACTCCCACTCTCACTCTCAATGGTTGCAGCTAGTTTCAAAAAATTAATCATGATCAGCGCCTCTGTAACCTTGATAGGCGAGAAGGGGGCAAGCTCACAGTCATCGACGAGGGAATCTTTGAAATGTGCTCGTCCGAATTCGTCACTCATGATGGTCGTCGTAACAGTGAAGACTGAATGGAGGGCGAACTTCTGCACCTAAATGACGTCGTGCAATGACGCGTCGTTGACGTCAGTTCTCCAGCCTGAGAGTACGAGAATGATAATCGATAATTCCCTACTGGTGTCCTGGAATTGTCGAGCTTATACAAGTACACGTTGGTTTTCATCGCCGTCTGAAAATGACAAGAAAACGGAGGTGTCCTACGAAAACAATGATATTGCTTACACGTGTCGAAGCTTATATGCACGCGCGCAGCTTCTCATCTTTGCGATATCGGCTGCCAGAAACGGCTGTCAGTGTCAAATTCATCGCCAGTGCAGGAAATACAAAGGGTGTGGTTGATTTCTCCGCTCTGAAGAGATCTATCAACGATGCCATTAAATTCAGAGGTCAGAGAGAAATAACTTGAAGAAATAACCGGGCTCGAAACGCAAGGCAACAAAAATAACATCGTTGAAAGTTGATTGGTATTGCATCATTGAAGGCTGATTGATGTTACACGTTGATGCGAAAAAGACGACTCCAGACTCCAGTTTAAGGAGGAATGCAATCCGGTTGATGCATCCTAATAGCCAGTCAGAGCGGTCAACGAAACTAGAAAACAATCGAACTCGCCTCCAATGCATCCTCTGACATCCGCCTGAACAATCTAAGGAACCGATCTGCAGTCAGACGAGCAAAAACGACAATGCAAAAAAAACACGCCTCACAAGCAACCTTCTCGCAGTGTTTACACGGACGCAGCTTCACATCGCGCTTCCCACACGCCACGCACTCATCCAACGTGACCACCATGTTCCTCTCGAATGTAATCTCCCCATCCGTCCCATACCTGACATACCCTACACCCAACACCTCCCTCCACGGATGCCCGTCTCCCACACCGTATATCGCCAGTAGCTGCGCCTTCTCAGGGTCGTTCTCGAACACCACCGCGAGGTTGTCCCGCGCATCCTTTACGTCCGTGCAGACGAAGCGCTCCCAAGGCTGACTCGCATTAGCGAGGTCATAGTACGGTGGGTGGGCGGCGGCGAGTTCTAGAGCCTCACGGAATCGTCTCATGGAGATCGCCCGGTCGTCATCATCCCAGGCGAGCAGCCCGAGCGTCAGTCCCGCGGTGATTTGCATGCCCTTCAGGTAGAGCTGCGCTTTGTCGGTGAAAAAACGGGGGTGGTCCTCTATGGTGGAAGTGGGACGGTAGCTGTAGAGCAGCATGTATGCGCACAGCGCGTTGTCTGTAACGCGTGCCGTTCAACAGACGACGAGCCAGACAGAGAAGATAGGGGTATTTTTTCGATGTACGCACCCTTGGTCTTACCCAGCGCTGGGTCCTTGAAATAAGAAATAAAGCTGCTCCATGCTGCGCCTAGCGTCTCCGTCGGAAGGGTATACTCATGCAACGGGTTGTTAAGTATGGGTAACGTCATCGTAACCAGTTCGTCCTTCACGATCTTCTTGATAGCTTTCTGGTAACGCTCAAAGGCCCTATCGAATTCACCTCGGCCGTACAACGTCTCAGCTTGGAAGTACAGATGCCAGCCGGTGGACATGGTAGTATAGACAACGTGATGGTGGTTTTTGAACAAGAGGTGAAAGATATAAGTAGAGATTGAGAATAAGAATGACGGCCCGAAGATGCCGGCTACTTAGTGGGTGGTGGGGCTGTGCCGGGCGAACCAACAAACAGTTTCATCCTTCCACCACATGGAACACCCGTAACATCAAGATCAATCATAAATTCATTAACTTCTTCATCAAGGCAAATGAAATGTGTGTGGCGCGGCACCCGATATCATCTGCTAGCAGTGGCCAGCAAGTCTCTTTATTTACAGTGTCTAGCGCGAAGTGTCGTTGTGGAAAAAAAATAATAATCCAGTAAGTATTCAAATCCTGGGCAGGATGCCATCACTATCTCCAAGTTTGGCAAGGATAGCCGGGCGTTTTCAATTCGGAAGTGTGACTATAATTACTCGGGGGGACATACGTTTTATTTAGTTAATGAAAAACCCATCCGAGGAACGTCAACGTTAACGCCACCACATTTCGTAGCGAGGAAAAAAACTGGAAGACGCGAAAATAAGAAGCTCGTACCACTGGGATTGTTGGCGGTGGGTCTAGTTCGAGAAACTGTAGCTGAATGCACCACCAGCCTTTGCTAGCAAATAACGAGTCAAGCTTAGAGTATATATGTTCGCCTGTTTTCTCCGAGGTCATACTTATTCAAGTCGCCGTATCGGCCATAATACTACGACATGCAAGTGATCGGCGTCTATAATCGAGGGTCAATTGAAAACGCCACAATATTTTTGAAGAGGCTCTCACCAGCGATGTTCCCATGTTTGCTACTGTGAGAACATAGTACGCCACGCCTTGTGGTCTACAACTCCAGACTCGTCAAGCCGTTCTTATTCAGAAGACAGCCAGTGTGTTTGGAGACTCACGGTTCTGGCTTGGTATTTGACGAAAGAGGCAAAAACGCAGCATTGGGCACTGAGCAAGAATTTGAAAGCGGTGGGTAAGGCTGTCGAATTCAAGCTTGAAGCTCAATTCCCAGAGCGCCGCCCGCCACTAGTAAGAGTCTTTGCAAGAGAGGGAGGCCATTGATTATGAAAACCGTGAACGATCGTATTCCAAAGAAACTATCCCAACTCGAATAAATTTGTACATACAAAAAACATTGTCATTATTATATCAGTGCTTCAGGACGGGCACTCTGCATCTGTATACATGGTCGCATCCCCCGGACCGTACTGCAGCGGGTTGCATCCAGGGAGCTTCGCGAGCGTACCCTCCGTATCCTCATTGACCACCGAAGCGATTCTGCACTCATTAGCGGTATCAGCGCTGATGATATCGAATACAGAGCAAGCGGTGAATACGCCTAGACGAGGGAGCGAACGAATCAATCACTATCCAAGGATCATGTTGAATCCCTCTTACCATTGATAGTATCGTTATCGGGGTTGTTGCAGTTATCGATCGCCTCTTGCAGAGCGCTTTATGATGATGAGAGAGAGGGGTGGTTTAGACAAAGGGAAGAAAAAAAAAAAAAACACATACTCGACATCCCATCCATTCTGGAAGTCGCCGTGCCATCCGTATCCCGTCGGGTCGCTACATGGAATTACACAGGTAAACAAGTGGACCGCCAACGGGGCTGAACATACCCATGAGCCTACGGGTAAAAAATAAAACAGCGTCAGCTCAAGCAAAAGACACAGTAAAAAACACATACATAGACAAACGGCCATCCGTCACTCTCGTTCCATCTCCCGACAAAGTCGTGGATATTCCACGTAATCTCGTAGAAGAGCTTCATGAGGCCAACGGGGTGCGTAGAGGGGCAATCGCCATTGTCGAGCTGCGATAGGTACGCGACGTGGGATTTGTGGTCCGTACTGTCCACATTCTATCGTGAACCACATTCAGTGCTTGGTGGGGAAAAAAAGAGAGAGGGAGATATAAGTATATACTGACCACGCCGTCCCAGCACGCAGGGAAATGCAACCTAGATTGGAACCCGGCCTCACAGTCCGTAGTGGGAAATCCGCCCGTTCCTGTCAATCCATCACGGCCATCAGAATCAGAATGGACGTGTCACCGGGAAACCGAGGGGGGTGGAAGAAACTGACCTCCATAGTCGGGGTTGCTCGTCGTGTAGCGCAAGCACAGCCAGGCGATGGCACTTTCCGCGAGCTCGGCCTGGGTGCCCAAGCCAGGAGGAAATCTACCATGGGGAAGAGTGAGTTAGACCACGACGGCGTGCTCGATAGGTGAACGTACGGGAAGCTACGCTTCGTCGGGTCCCCGGTGATCATCCTGAACCCTTCGGGGAAGGCTTTGAGCCCAGGACCGCCGTTGGCGACGTCCATGCTTCCGCGGTTCTGGTAGTAGATGAGGAGACCTGCTCCCCCCCGTGTAAGCGCGAGCGATGCAAGAAATGAAACCCAAAACCATACCGCCATTGGCGACAGATTCGAATAGCCCTGTCTGTGGGTCCCTGAAGTAGAGCTTGGGGAACCCTATATAAATCGCGTCAGTTGTCAAGCGGTGATGATGACTCGGGTATATAGCCGTACAGTAGTTGGAGAGATCCTGTCCTACTTGACATGAAGTGCATTTAGACTGGCGCATGGTCTGGTAGGTGCTGCTAGCCGCGAAGTCTAAAAGGAAAGGCGCAAGTAAGCCACTTGAACACTGGGGACAAGTGTAAGACCCACTGGATCCGCCGTGTACAGTCTGAAGCGCGTCGGTATGAGGGACGAAGAACAAGGCCAAACATCAGAAAGTTACGTACATGGACGTGTTGGGAGGGGTTCACGCCGGGCTGCTCGATAGGGTCAAGGCGCTCTGAGAGTCATTGAGTAAACGCGACAGGAAGCATGGGGGAGGGCGAAATGAACCTTGAACGAGCGGCAGCGTGCATGGGAGTCTGAACCATGCATTGGCGCTACTAGCGATTAGGATAAGAGAGAGGAAAGAGAGCATTGTCAGGCAGAGTTGGCTTGCTTGGGGTGTTGCTAAGGGTATGCCCCACCCGCAAGCTTTTTAAAGTAGACCGTCCTACCGGAATGGGGAAGCAAAGCGAGACTTGCCATGAGCACAGTGCCCTCGAGTTTCCGCCCATATGCGTAGACGGTAGAAGATCCGGTGCTGGAGGCGAGTGTGGAAACATACTCGGTAAAAGGATTAACATGGAAGGCAGGAGTTGGCAGCAAACGCAAGTCAGAGAGTCTGGGTGGACTGGCGCTGAATTGGACGGGTGCCACGCTATTAAACGAGCGCGACAGCGCCAGTATTAGTTGAACTTCTTCTTCAAGCATCTCACGTAGAGGCGCAATATTGTTCGGTTGGCAATGTCAGTGATGAGAATGACGTCGGCCCGTTTAGTGCTCGCACGGTTCCAAACTGGGATCAAATGAAAGAAAATTGAATGCGAGCGATCCGAGCTTGCAGAGTTCTGTCTAGGAATTCATGTGTATGCACTCCCATGGATAGTTGGAATCATATGTTTGTAGTAGCAGCTGTGACGGTGTGGCAGAGATGGTCCGTAGCTTCGAGGGTGACGGTGATTGAATGTTAAACGAACAGGACCCAGGAGGCTACTTTAGCAGCATGACATGTTTCTAGTCGGTCAGGTGTGTGAGTATCGCAAAGGTGAATATCCGCAAAATAAGCACGGGTCAACGGAACGACATGTCAGTACTTGGTGAAAGAGGAAAGTTCAAAGTTCAAAGTTTTGATTGCACCATGTTGGCATACAAATGAGTTCCCACGCTTAACTTATCGGATCTTATCATCATTGCCTCATCAAGACCTTTACTTTTGAATCTTTGAATACCGATGGGAATATGGCACCTCAGTATGGTCAACCTGAGATCTCCTCGGTCCACATAAATCAGAGCCAAGCCCAACAAGGGGCCAGGTGGCATATCTGCCTCAACGCCTTACGGTTTTTGCCCCCCCCGTGTTTACTGAGCATGGGAATGGCTTGGAGGACTCAAATCCTAGCATGAACAGAACTCGCTACCGAGTCTACATGCGGTTTCTTCGTCGGTGATTCTTCGACGATCAGACAATCGTCAGTTGTGGGGTTCGGAAACTCTGTCTGTACGGAGTATAGTATGTTCAAAGACCGGAAATTAAGGTCGGAGGATTTTTCGACACTTTGTCCGTTCATTTATTACATATCGACGACCGCTGCCGACCAAGTCCGTTTCACAATGTCCAAAAAAAATAATTTCCCGATCATTTCGGGATCGGAAGATGCACGAGTATGATTCCTGTGTTATATACGAATTTGTATGTTTTTCTCTTCCTTTTTTTCGATTTTCTAGTGGAAGGTGTATTGTCGTCATCGTCGTACTCGCCTCCGCCGTCCGGCAATTATATCGGGCATCCAGATGGCATCACCCGCAGAGGAGTGACGAGGCTGTTCTTGCTTTTTTGGGGTTAGTCGAGGGTGAGTGAATGAACGAACTAGAAAATGACTTTGTTTTTGAGACGTGCAGCTAGACGACCGGGAGATAGTCTTGCCTTATTATCGAGAAGCTGTTGAATCGAGACCGCGTGGTTTCGAATTCGCCGATTCAAATAAAGCTGGCCGTCCTTCATAGACAATGGGGACGTGTTGGACGCGTTTTCGTCTTTTCGTGTTCATTGAGAGACAATATCGTAACTATATCAAGTGTATGTGGCTCGTTGTTTGACCCAATAAGTTTCGGGGAGGTGCGGTAACACGGCCAATTATTTATCAGGATTCAGCAAGGAGTTGAGCTGAGTATTGAGCAGTGTGTCTTGGTAGCTGAGTGGTAATCAGCATGCATGGCCATTGACGAAGGTACGAATCCTTCGAAACACGTAGAAAAATAACAACGGCGAGCTTGTTTTCATTTTCTAGGCGGCAAGGATTCCGAGCCTGTACGAGCCAATAGTTTGGATAAGTAATTGAGCTTAAAGTGACGGGATATCTAGTTATTTCCCCCGGACTTCCTCTTTTGCACCATCAACAATCGGATCGGATCGTCTGTTTCACCGCCCACATGTCGAATCAGATGGTACAATGTGGCTGTATGGATGACCAAAATCTGTTCAAGGTCACCCGTATTCTGCCGATGCTATCGTCAAGATGGTCAAAGCGGCCATTTGCGGTAAGCTTTTTCCCTCTCTTACTTTGCCAGATAACCTTGAATAAACTGTTAGGTACGGACTTGCACATTCTTAAAAGCGACGTCGCTACCGGACGGATCTTAGGGTTTCCTTCGTACAGTCCACCGGAGACGGCGTTACGAGATTCAAACCAGGTGACAATGTGATCGTTTCCTGCAGGTGATGATTAGCGACGTCTTCCAGACAAGATTCGAATCACTCATTTTTGCTAGGAGTACAGTTGAAAGGTATCGTGGGAAGTTATTATTCCAGGCTGTCGTCCGTGCTCGCTACAGGATGCTATTCGTTCTCGCGGTGACATTCCCACCTCAACTTAAGAAGGAGGTTTACTCAGTACAGTTTTTGACATGTATTCCCTAGGTACAGTGTCTCTGCTGTGGTCTGGTGAATATTGTCAAGATGACATTGTCTATTTAGGCATTAATTGTCTTTTCTTTCGACTTGGATATGCCTGCTGTAGTCTATTGGTCAGCATTTGAATTTCACATGTAAGCTGGGTTCGACTCCCAGTTACAGTATGATTATCCCAAACGTACACTTTTATCGATAGGGTTGCCCGCGGAACCTCCAGAGGGGTTTTCCCCCTGAAAGGGGTGTTTTGATATGGCAATTTACCGTTATCGTATCATGTGCCAAATCACATGACTGGCGCGTGGTAGTGGCAGATTGTTTTTGGGAATCTTTGTCTTCGTGTTTTAATACATCTCTCAGACTGTGATTTACTGTAAAAGCAAAACATATCTATTCTTTTGCTTTTGTAAATATAATATGTATACAATGGTGCTGAATATACTGCTCAAAATGATGCCCATGCATAGTTACATGATAGGTAAGTTACCTCGATAAAAAAAAATTTCAGCCAGAGGGGGTAAGTTACTGGTAATTAACCTCAGTGCATTGAAATCTGGGTTTAATGCGCTACCATATCCGGGCCATCAAGAGGACCCAAGTCTGTATCGTTGTTCGTCTATGAGAGATGTTCTTGCACATCCCGGCATCCGCCAGGAGCCGCCGGTCTTCACGTTCGGACAGTTGGTGTCATAAAAGTGGTTATTATTTATGTGAGCCTCGTCCCTGTAGACGTTGACTGTTGTACCACCAAACCCGTAGGGAAGTGCCAACGACCATATCCCAAGTCGCAATGCTGGCTAGGGTGCATATGTGCGGTGTGTTGAGGGATATATTAAATATCGAGGAAAGCAGAAATGATATCGGGCAACTGAGGATTACAAGTTCCTGCTGCCTCCCAGCCAGATATGTGTTGCTGACAACTTCGATTGTGGTGTCATGTGCACTATTATTTCAGAATGCTTTAAGTCATACACCTTGGGGATTGTTACTTTGTTTCAAAGGTAAAGGACATATGGATACATTGGCTCGAAATTAAGCAACTGTAGCTTGTTGAAAGCTTGGTATAGAAGTCAGATTAATGCTATGCGCGCACAAGACCCAACATCCCTCGCTCCATCTTAACATAGAACCCGTTGATGATCTCCGTACCAAAATTTCTTTTGCAGTCATTCATCGATTGCAATATATTCTGCGCCTCCATTTCCGTCTGCGCGCGCTTCGCGTCCGAATCAATGTCTGTTCCGGTGAGCTTGTCGATAGACTCCGTGTCCGTCTGTGGCCGTTTCGAATCGGCCAGAGGCTGAGCATTACCATTATGTGTTTCAGGCTTGGTAGGTTCGAGGACGCTTATGCAGAAATCCAGTGTGTTCTCAAGCTCTGCCTCTGTGAGATTCTCATCGGCATCTGCGCGTCCTTGGATGACTATGCGGAAATTTAGCCTATGGAATTTAAATGATGGAAGATGGCTGAGAATTTACCGGGTATCAGTGAATCAATCGCCCTGTCAAAATTGTCTTCGTGGTCCTCGTAGAGAACAGCCGTATCCTGAGATCGTATCTGCTTGTAGACACTGAGCACAACAAAGAGGAAACTAAATCATTTCTCAATGACGAGGTGAACAGACACGCCTTTGTAAGATTCTTACCGGGTATACGCGATCCTCACTTTCGAGCTGTGGAATCCCCAGGCTTCTACTTCAGTACAATTCCCTCGAATTGAGGCAGCGATGGTACTAGCTGCAGACAGTCCACCGGTGAGTGCCAAGTGGATACCTGATGAGAAGTACGGGTCAATGAAAGCTACAGAATTGAAGGTTAACCTTAATTGCCCGACTTGAATAATTCGACGACTTACCTCCCGCATCCCCGGCGATACGGAAGTGAGGACCAGCATATTCCGACGCGTGGTAGCTGTAGTCACCAGCGGACATGAGCTTCCCCTCGAATGTCGCGTCTCCCAGTAGCTGAATTAATCCTGGCGCTCGTTGAAGATCCGCCATATAACAATGGTGCTGTACTTCTGAAAGTGATTTCCCATTCGATTCTGAACGGTATCGCGTCCTTTTGTGCTTGCTCTCTTCTTCTCCTAGAACAACGCCGACACTGGTCGATCCGTTGTGAAGAGGGATGAACCAAGCCCAACCCGATTCATCTGGAATGAAAAAAAAAAAAAATTAGTGTCGGGAGGGCCCCAGAGAGCGATCTGTCACTCGCCTGTCAAAGCTTCAAACCATGGTGCGTTCTCCCGCTTTGTCCCCGGTGCATAACGTCCGGCGCCATTCCAGTATCCCCATATTGCGACGTTTTTGAGGGACTTGTTGAACGTCCTATTCTTCATGTATCTTGTGGACATCAACCCATTCCTCCCAGAAGCATCGACAAGCCAATCAAAGGATAACTCTCCCCGCGCGGCATCGCTCTTCCTCCAAGTGAGTGAAACCGGACGAGTAGGCTCGTCAGGAGAAAAGTGGATTTCCTCAACCCGGACACCCTCGTATGCATGGACTCCCGTTTCCACTGCGTGACGGAGAAGGAGGTCGTCAAATTCCGATCGTACCTGTATTTGGTTTATGTTAGAAGTGTTGTTGGTTGTCAGGAGATGAGGAAAAAAGAAGGTCACCACGTTCCAAGCCGAGTTATCCGGATTGTTAGCTATGAAATCCATGTCTAGGTTTAAGTAGTCAGTGACTTGGCATATCTTCACATTATGAGGGTGAGCTGATACGCACATCCTTCGCGTTTCTCCTGATTGAGTTTGAGCGCAGCACCAGGCTAACCGATGTTTAGATAGCGATACGAAGAAGCGAGGGACAGGTGTACCTTTGGAAAGAAACCGTAGTTTTTCATCTTCTCTTCAAAATCGATGAATCTGAAGAACGGATGGCAAGATGGTAGCATGCTCTCTCCGATGTGATAGCGGGGGAAGACGTCTTTCTCGAGGAGGATGACCTCGAAACCCTCTGGGCGTTTTCGTGAATATAGTCGTATGCTGGAAGAAACGAGGCTGAGTGCTTACCTCTCGCGAGAACGGCGCCCGCGTAAGCTCCTGCGGGTCCTCCGCCGATCACAACAATATTGGCCGATGAAGGCTATAAGCGATACACAACCGCCTGAGAGAAATATGGTAAAAGACTCACCACTTGCGCTTCCATGACAGAGTATGGTGACACTTTCCTGTACTGCTAGAGTCTTTTTAAACTGAGAGCATAATTGTCAACGGTATTAAATGTGGATCGTAAATTCATCCCTAGCCAGTCTGGAACCGCGAGTTGTGTCATCTGCCAACCCGTTAGTCCAGGGTCTGATACCCTGGTTATCCAAGCGGTGTTATTTCCTGATGTTGTGGCGGCACTCCCGCCAATGTGGTTGTAAGATCGCCGCGCTCGCGGTCCTCAGCGCCACCAAAAGATCAGATCACCTGTTCAATAACCCATGGAGATGACGAGTACAAACCCAACTCCGCAAGCGTGCAGTCATATTTAGCGTTATTAACCCTGTCCATGCCCCGGATAACCCTTTGCGGACCGGCCCTATCAGGTATTATAGCTACCTAACATTTTTTGTCTCCTTAAATACTCGAATCGAGGACGACATAACAACAGTGAACCTTCGAAGGGAGCGTTGCGAAAGGAGTATCAGTGATCTGATCAAGGGGCGGCACGAAAAACGTTTCGCAATGGTACTAAATCGAAGAACAAGTGGCTAGAAGGAGGAAGACAATATTCTCTTGCCTGCTCGGTAAAGTGAGGAAGGAAGTCCACTCATTACATTTCGACGTGCGCACCGAGATGCATGCACGCGACAGTGTTGACCGGCTTGGCGGTCATATTGATGAACTGAGGTAAGGCGCCAAGAATGTCAAGGTATTGCCTATCACAGGGGGATTATGCGACGTCGTATACTCTACGAACAGTCCCTGTGGGAATTCTATCTTGAGGAACTGGGTTCCACTTCAAATCTTTTGGTGGATGCTGCAGAGACAGTCAGGGGGTCACTTCCGTAAGGATTTAGATCAAATAGGTACCACTTTCCTTGGACATTCCAAATTGTTCGAGGCCGTATGCGAAGGAGATGACGAAAAGATGGACACCTGACCGCAGCAAGAAGTTGATGGCCTCTCGTCAAAAAACTCAGCTATTCTAATGTGGTCCGAAGACCAAAGTGAAGTGGCATACCTAGCGATTTCATATCGACTTTGGCATACGTGGCTTGGAGTCTAAGAGGACTCCATACCTCTTAGACTCCATACATGACCAAGTTGAACTTTGTCCTCGGCGAAAGAGAAAATCCCCGCCAACAGTTTGGGTGGGTGGACGTTTCAGGTTAATGACAGCCGCATTTCCGCATTCGAATCAATGACGGTGCTTGTTTAGAACTTGAACGTTGTACGTAGTTATGTCGGCCAAAAACTATTCCTGTCTGATAAAAGACCCTTTAGTGGAACAGCTGCCAGTGTATAAGCAAAAAGTTAGTACCTGTCCGTCGCGAGTGGCGACAATTCCACTACAATTCGAAAGCCCTGAAAGTCACAGTAAGAGAGAGGCGTTTATAGTCTCTCTATGGGCCGATGAAGAAGCTTCAGCTTCTAGCCGCATACAGATTCCCTCCACTGTGAGATCAATGAGGGTTTGTGATGGACCGAGATCAATGCGAGATGCACCGTCCCGCTCCGACTGATTGGCCTGCTTTTTGCTCCATCTATATACACCTTATTTTGACCAAATACGAAGATTCAGGTATTCATAGCCGGTGCTTCAGCTACCGTCGGCCCCTCACTGCAACTATGCCTCGCCTCTCTTTCTGGTAAATGTATCACAAAGAAACTTCGTCTCTGCAAGAGAACTGAGGCATATATATTTGGACCATAGCTCCACTCTCATGTTCTCTACGAATTCCCCGTTGGTAGATTGTCAAGGAATCACGGTGCAACGTGCCATGTCGTCATTCCTGATAACACCTTTCCAATGGAGAATTTCATTGGTTTTATTCAAAGATCCTAACTTGATGTAAGAACGCACACAAAGTATTTTCGTCGTTTGGCATGTACCAAGTCTCACGGCAGTTATTTCCCTATGCCATTTATAAGGAAACCGGTTACTTGTCATCTCTAACACCGTGAGGTTTTCGTGCCTTGTTCCTTGTTCTTTCTCCTGCGTTGGTCCGGGTTTCTGAAATACCTGTGGGCAAGGCGTTGCAGAAAGGAACATAATTCGGCGAGTACTTTGCGCCACCGCCCCCCCTCCCCCCCCACCCTTTGAATTTGACATGGAAAGTCGAATCCCTCTGTGATGTGAAGATAATAACGTATAAATAATTAATGTCCGCTTAATTACATGAATCAATCCTCAAATGCCGATATCTCCGACTCGGTGGGGTGGAGCTTGATGAAATGAGATGCGCTCCTGAAGTCCTGCCATGAGGTTTTGCTGATCGTGCTCCCTACACGCGTCGACTGGTATGAAGGGACAGTGAGGGTGCTGGTGCGTTCGGGGCGTTGGGGGGTTTCTTGAGCTTGAGTCGTTTCTGGACTCGGATCTTGACTCCGGCACCGGTTGCGGGGTTTTCTTCGGAGGAAGAGGATGGTGATGGTGAGGGCTGTGATTAGGATGGCGAGGACGGCGATTATGGAGGCTATGAGTTTGAGTTTGAGGGTGGGAGAGGA